TTCAATAAAAAATTAAAAATAAAATAGTAAATGAAATAAATAAAATATGTAAAAATATAAATTAAATACCTGGTATAAAAATACATATTCGGACCAAGAATAATTGAAAAATAATATTTGTAGCTATTTGTAATTGATTTAATTGTAATTGGGCCAAGTTATACACATTTAGTAAATAATTAACTAAATGACGAAAATAATTATGAAATAAATATGGGAGAAAGCTAGATTAAATATATGACTAACTAGGACGTTTGGGACCATTTATAATTAATAAATATTATAATTAGCATATTTAATTGTAATTAAACCGGTTAATAGATATATGAAATTAAGTGAATAAATAAAGGAAATAATTCTAAAATAAATATCTGGACAACCTAGGTCAAGTATAGACCCAAACTATAGTTATGGATGATTAGTAATTTATAAAAGTGATGATTAAGTTATTTAATTTAATTGAGCCATATAAACTAGTTAAGTAATTAAATAAGGAAATTTTGATATTAATGGTGAAATAAATGAATCACTAAGATTGAAAATAATGTTCTGGACTAAAAATGATGTTTGTAATAAAATAAGGAAAAGAAAATAAAGTTGGGTTATCTAGTATAAATGAATGACTATATTTGGACTTAATAAATAAATTATTGAATTAGTTGACTAATTAAATTAGCGTGATTAAATTAATAATTATTAGAGTCAATTCCCTAAATAGGACTAAAAAGTGGCAAAATTGCACAAATAGGACTACATTTTTTAAATTCCCTTAATAGGACTATTTATGTGTGTATGGACAAATATACCCTTGTAACTTTTGAAATGTTTTAATTAATAATAAAATCATAAAAAAATAATAAAAATCGAAAAAAAACTAAAAATCATAAAACAATAATAGAAAATTAATAAAAATATTTTTTAAAAAAATTAAAAAAAATATTTTTAAAAAAAACGTAAAATTAAAAAAAAAACATTACCACCCCTGCCACCCCCAGCACCACCAGCTCCCATCACCGGAGAAAAATATGCCAACATTTTAAATAATGCCATAATGATGGCATATTCAATGAAAATGTTGGCATATTGAAGAGTAATTATGCCATCTTTTTGGCATTTTCAGAAAAAGATGGCAGTTTTTACCAAAAGTGGAAGAAATTTCACCAATCGGAGGTGGTGGTGCTGGGAGGCGGTGGGATAGGTATCCATAATTTTTTTCATTTTTTATGGGTTTTTACTATTTTTTATTATTTTTTAAAAAAAATAAAAAAATAAAAATTTAAATTTTTAATTTTATAAATGTTTTATAAATTTTTTATAATTTTTTTACGTTTTTTAAATATTTTTTACGTTTTTTTATGATTTTATTATGAATTAAAGCATTTCATTATGAATTAATACTCTTAGGGGTATTTAGGGTAGAAAATCAATGTTTTATCTTATTTAGGGAATTTAAAAACTAGTAGTCCTATTTGTGCTTTTTAGGAACTCGTTAGTCCTATTTAGGACAATTTCCCGTAATTATTATCCTTGATTATTAGTGATTTGGACTCCATATAAATTATTAAACTGTTTGAACTCATAAAAAATTAGTTGATGAATATAAACAAATTAATTAAGTAATGTGTACTTAATAAGTTAGTTAATTGACTTCATTGAACTAGTTTAACTAAATCAATTAGTTTAATGGATAAATTAGTTAATTTATAGACTTGATAACATTTCTGGACTTTATATTAAAAATAGAAAATTAAAACGAGATTAGAATTTAATTATTGGACTTAATTGAATTAGATTAACGTATTTAGCTATATTGATATAATTAAACTTATTTATTTGATTTAGTTAGTTCAATTAAATTAGTGAGTCAAATAAATAAAACTGGAGGATTGTATAAATTAATTTAATTGGGTTAGTTAGTATAAATAAACTATTGAACTAATTAAAGTTGTTATTGAGATTAGATTATCATTAATGATTATTATTTCGAATTATTGCCTAAGTCAAGTTATTATTAAAAGGGTTAGTAAATAAATTATATAAATTATGTAAACTGAATTTTGAACTGAAATTGATTATTTAAATTCGAAATAATGAAATTATTATGAAGTTAATATAATTGGACCAGTAAACTATTTAACCAAACAAATTAAGAAAAAACCGAGTTGGGTTATTATAATTAAAGAAAATAATAAGAATGAACTGGAAATAAACAGTTAGTAAGATTTATTAATTTAATATTTATATTTAAAGAAGGAATTATGAAGTTAAAGTAGTTAAAGGTTGGATATAAAAGAAATAACGAAATAATAGAATAGTTATTGATTTAGAATTTTGATCAATATTAGAAGGAGAATTCAAGTGAAGATCAAGCTAGAGATTTTATTAAGGAGATTATCGCAATTTAAGGTAAGTTCTATGTCAACCAAAATGTTTTGCCTCGTACTTATATGTATGCAATATTTGCACTATGTGAATTATTTATGAATTGGAAATTATATGTTTGACATGGATCGAATATTTTGACTATATGAATATTGGTGGATTATTACCTTTTATGGATGATTAAATGTATATTCTTTTTATTAAAGAATATTGGTGGATTTATATTTATTACAAAGGATATTTTGAGAAAATGTGACAAGAATGATTTGGGGAAAACTTAAAGTTTTCATAATATATATTCTTACGTCTCGAGAGAAACACGAGGCGTGGGTAGTTAGGGCTACTACTACTTTTGGTGGAATTTATTTGGGTCGGTAACTAGTCCGGCAATGACATACTCCGGTAGACATCCCGGGCTTTTATTTGAGGATCAAAGATCCTTTGGTGGTCGTAGTAGTAGTTACCTAATTTACCCTTGGACAATGTCCCTTGTGAGTAGGTGGTAGAAAACATCCTGCCTACTTGGGTTTCTTACTACTCGGAGGGCTTGGAATCCCTTTTAGAGGGTGTGCACACTTAAGGTAGAAATTCAGCTTCCAATTGGTGGTCGGTGGGAGCCGGAATTCCGGGATGAGTCGTAGATAACAACGACTCATTGGGCTCGAGGAATCTTGAGTTTTGCCCACTCTTAAAAGAATCTAAAGTATTACTTTTGGAAGAATTGAAGGATGATCTTATCTATTGTGGAAATTATTTTATGACATTAAACCATTTTGAAAATATGAGAGACTACTTTTCAATATATATACATATACAAAAACCTATTTTCCAAATTATATTATTTTACGGGTTCGGGTGGAATCTTACTTAGCTCTAAAGCTAATTTTTGTCTCTTTTCTCTTTTTCTCTTTGCTCTATTGTACAGATGATTATGATTATGAAGATTGATGTACTTGCTGCCCGAGTGTTCCGCTAGTTGCACACGTTTGATTAATTATTGTTGTTTAAATTTGTAATCCATAAACTTTGTTTAAGTTTTATCTGATGACTACTTGAATTAATGGTGGATAGCCTGTGCACTCAATCATGTATAGGTTGAGTGTGGCGGTGACACACCTGTTTTTCCATCAAAGACTTCCGCTGTACTCTAAATATGTTTTATAATAAAGATGTTTTCATTTCAAAATGTTATTTTATTTTGGTGGGGAAAATGGGGGTGTTACAAGTTGGTATCAGAGCCTTAGGTTTTCCAAAGGGATTAGAACACGAGGTAATAGGTTGTATGGAGAAATTCTGTCACCAAGACGATAAGAGTCTAAGGCTGTTGGTTCTTAATTGAGCCTTTGCGCTCGTCCAACTACCTGAGAATTTCTCCTTGTGCTGAAACTTCGTTGTTCAAAATCATTGAAGGAAACCTTTGAAATTGTACCTTCAAAAGGGAGATTTTCAAATATTTTTAAGATTAGGAAAGATAATATAGCTAGGAAATGACCTTTTAGGAACGTGGTGAGGACCTTGTGAGTATTTATTTTCCTTACATGTATCATGTATGTGATAATTATGCTAATTGTGGGCCCATTTGAGAAATGGGAACCCCAAATGATAAAATGGGAATGCCTCATAAGGCAAAATTCCGAAGTGGCTAAGGTATGTACAAACATTATGTGTGAAAGTGCTTTTATGTGAAGTATGAATCCTCTGTATGATTGTTATGTACATTTTTATATGATCATGTTGCATAGCCTATGGAATCCTTAGTTGAACTAGGATCCTTAGGAGTAAAATATAGAAAATCTTACACGAATACTTTGTGTCATTGAGATATCATGGCACCGAGAAGAGACCCTGATAACACGCCCACCAATGCTGAGTTGGCACAAAGCGTTCAACAACTGGCACAATTCATGCACACACTAGGTGCTACTGTGCTCCAGAACAATCAAAACCAGAACAACGGGAATGATGCCGCAAAACGAGTGGCATCTCGCAACCCTCCAAGCTTTCATGGGCAAGAAGATCCTCGTATCCTCGAGAATTGGCTCCGACTCTTTGACAAACTCTTCGACGCGGTGAGCTGTCCGGAAGAGCAAAGGGTTGACATTGCTGTTTACTATTTACAGCAAGAGGCGGATAACTGGTGGGTCTCATCAGGCCCAACTTTACGTCAACAACCTGACTTCAATTGGGAAGCTTTCAAGATTGCCATGAGGAAACGTTTTTATCCTGCACACGTTCAGGCCACCATGCGTGATGAATTCATACATTTGAAACAGATGGGCATGAGTGTCCAAGAATATCACAATAAATTCGTGGACCTCGCGCCATTTGCGAAAACAATAGTGCCTGATGAAAGCACCAAAGTTGAGAAATTTATCTACGGATTAAACTATGATACGCAGAAAATCGTCGCCGTTTTGGGTTGCCAAACTCTGACTGATGCTTATGATAGAGCTGCAGTTCACTATCGAGTTCAGCAACTGCAAAGAGAGAGGAACCAAAAGATGAAGAGGGACGAAGATGAAGGTCGAGGTGAAAAGAGGGTCAGAGTGCACCCACCTACACAACAACAAGAAGGGAGGAGGAGGAGAGATGATCAAGGTGGAAGAAATTTCCACGGTCAAAACCAACAAAATGATCGAAGAGCTGCTCCCAGAGATAGGCACTTCTACTGCAAGAGGTGCGGGAGAGATCATCCCGGTGTTAACTGCGATGGAAGCCTGACAAAATGTTTCAATTGTGGGAAGCTAGGGCACCGAACCTTCGAGTGTCTCTCAAAGACCAATGGGGCACCAGTGAACCAGGTGCAATACCGTGATGGAGGAAGACCAGATATGAACCAAGCTGGGCCAAATGGAGGACAAAATAACAACAACAATGCCGCCACCAACAACAACAACCGCAACCCTCGAGGAGGAGGGGAGAATAATCGTGGCAATGGCAATGGCGGGAACAATGGCAATGGCGGAAACAACGGAAACCGTCCGAACCAAGGGCGAATCATGGTGATGAATCAGGCCCAAGCCAATGCTAATGATGTGGTTTCAGGTACATTCCTTGTAAATTCTGAGCCTGCTTATGTTCTATTTGATTCTGGTGCTTCTCACAGTTTCATATCTTCTAGTTTCGTTAAGAAATTGAAGATTGAACCAACGGCTAGAATAGACTTGAATGTAAGAACCGCCTCAGATAAATTTGTAACTTGTGGAAATGTATACTCCAACATTCCCATACTCATATTTGAATCCAACCTACCTGGAGATTTAATCCAATTTGACTTAAAAGATATTGACATAGTACTGGGCATGGATTGGTTGGGGAAATACAAAGCCAGGATCCTCTGTGATGAACAGAAGGTGATCTTGAAGGGTCCAAATGGGAAGCGAATATCTTACAAAGCAATCACATCCAAGCCTAGTATGAGGCTGATGAGTATGCAACAATTAAGGCGACATATCCGAAAGGGGTATGAAACATACCTGTGCTTTATGAAAGAGGTGAATACAGGGGAGCCAAACATTGACCAAATTGCCGTAGTCAATGAATTTCCGGATGTATTTCCGGAAGAGATTCCAGGGATGCCACCCGAGAGAGAAGTTGAATTCTCAATTGAGTTGATGCCCGGAACCGCGCCAATTTCAAAAGCACCTTACCGGATGGCACCGAAAGAAATGCAGGAGCTGAAGGAACAACTAGAGGAGTTGTTAGAGAAGGGGTACATAAGACCGAGTGTCTCACCTTGGGGCGCTCCGGTCTTATTTGTCAAAAAGAAAGATGGGAGTCTAAGGCTATGCATCGATTACCGAGAGTTGAATCAAGCAACTATCAAGAACAAGTATCCATTGCCCCGAATTGACGACTTGTTTGATCAATTGAAGGGGGCTAGCACGTTCTCTAAGATAGACTTGCGCTCTGGATATCATCAAGTGAGAATATCCGAAAAAGATGTACCAAAAACAGCATTCCGCACGAGGTATGGACACTACGAGTTCACTGTGATGCCATTTGGTTTAACAAATGCACCGGCGGTATTCATGAACTTAATGAACCGTGTATTCCGACCTTATCTTGATACATTTGTGGTGGTATTCATCGATGATATTCTTGTGTATTCAAAAACCCCGGAGGATCACGAGAAACACTTGAGACTCACGTTACAAACTTTGAGAGAGAACCAGTTGTATGCCAAACTCTCAAAGTGTGACTTCTGGCAGGATCGGGTAGCGTTCTTGGGTCACATCATCACCCAGGAAGGCGTATCCGTAGATCCATCGAAGATTGAAGCGGTGGTTGAATGGCGTGCACCTACCTCGGTCACAGAGGTAAGAAGTTTCTTGGGTCTAGCGGGATACTATAGGAGATTTGTTAAAGATTTCTCCAAGATAGCAAGACCGCTAACCAACCTGACAAAGAAGACAACCAAGTTCCAATGGAATGAAGATTGTGAAGCAGCATTCCAAGAGTTGAAGAAAAGACTCACAACTGCGCCGGTCTTGACACTACCGTCAGGGACGGAGGGATTTGATATCTATAGTGATGCATCCAAGAAGGGGTTGGGGTGTGTGCTGATGCAGAATAGGAAAGTGGTGGCTTATGCATCAAGACAACTAAAGGTGCATGAAGTCAATTATCCTACCCATGACCTGGAGTTAGCTGCAGTAGTGTTTGCTTTGAAAATCTGGAGACATTACCTATACGGAGCACATTGTAAGATATACACTGACCACAAAAGCTTGAAGTACATATTCACTCAAAAAGAGCTTAACATGAGGCAAAGAAGATGGCTCGAGCTTATCAATGATTACGATCTAGAAATCCAATACCACGAGGGAAAAGCTAACGTGGTGGCGGATGCTTTGAGCCGGAAATCTGAGCACTCATGCCGAGCAACATGGATATTACCAGAAGAACTATTCCGAGACTTCCAAAGATTGAGCTTGGAAGTAAAGCAATATGGCGAAGTAGATGGTGAAATACAGTTATGTACTATGACTGTTATACCATCTATCTTTGACGAAATCAAGAACGGACAACCGGGAGATGTAAAGCTTGAAAGAATCAAGGAAGGAATGAAAGATGGCGTCAACGGACCATTTAAGGTACATGAAGATGGGAGCATCCGATACAAGGGAAGGTGGTGTGTTCCACTGAAGTGTGCAGATATTAAAAAACAAATCATGGAGGAGGGACACAACACGCCCTACTCGGTACATCCCGGGGGAGACAAACTATACAAAGACCTCAAACAGAACTTTTGGTGGCCGGGAATGAAGAAAGAAGTAGCTGAATTTGTATCCCGATGTTTGAACTGCCAAAAAGTCAAAGCGGAGAGATGCAAACCCAAGGGACTCGTGCAACCCTTGGAAGTACCAACATGGAAATGGGATTCAATCTCAATGGACTTTGTCGGGGGTTTACCTTTAACAAAGTCCGGGAAAGATAAAATTTGGGTGGTAGTGGATAGATTGACCAAAACTGCAAGGTTCATTCCTATGAATGAAACCTGGAGCATGGAGAAACTGGCTAAAGCCTATGTCAAACACGTGGTCAAACACCACGGAGTACCTCAAGACATCGTATCGGACCGAGATTCACGATTCTTATCCCAATTTTGGAAAGAATTACAAACGGCTATGGGAACAAAATTGAAGTTAAGTACTGCTTTCCATCCAACCACGGACGGACAGACCGAAAGAACAATCCAAACATTAGAAGACATGTTGAGGGCATGTGTTCTTGATTTGCAAGGATCATGGGATGAACACCTAGACTTGGTAGAGTTTTCGTACAATAACAGTTACCATGCTAGCATCGGAATGGCCCCATACGAAGCTCTATATGGTCAAAAGTGTAGGAGTCCCTTATGTTGGGGTGACATGGTCGATCAGGTGGTTCTAGGACCACAATACTTGCAAGATACTATTGAGAAAATCAAGGTCATCCAAGAAAGGATGAAGGCTGCCCAAGACCGACAGAAATCATATGCCGATCTTGGGAGAAAACCAGCTGAATTCGAACTAGGGGAGAAAGTTCTACTTAAAGTCTCTCCTACAAGAGGCGTAATGAGGTTCGGGAAGAAAGGGAAACTAAGTCCGAGATTCATCGGACCCTATGACATCCTAGAGAAGGTGGGAAAAGTGGCATATCGATTAGCTCTACCCACGGAGTTGGATAAGGTAACAACCGATTTGAAATCAAATACTTCTCTACGATTAAAATACATTCTTAACATACCGATATATGCTAGGTACATAACGTCTTTCACGTATCACAATTAAAGAAGTATGTTCGAGATGAGTCACATATCATCAATCCGGAGGTAAGAAATCCTAGACTTAACATGAGCCAAACGTAAATTGAAAAGAATATAAGTTAACCGTTATATTATTAGGTGATTGAAATGGATGAGACATTATCCTACGAAGAAAAACCCATAGAGATTCTCGATACTAAGACCCGAGAGACAAGGAAGAAGACAGTTAAGATGGTAAAAGTACTTTGGTCAAACCATTTGACCGAGAATGCAACATGGGAAACAGAAGAGGATATGCGTAAACGGTATCCTGAACTTTTCAATTAAGGTAAATATTCGGTTACGAGGACGTAACCTTTCTTTTAGGGGGGCAGGTTGTAATATCTTATAAACCTATAATACTTCATCTTCATACTTAATTCTCGTCTTAGTTTATGCTTCGAGGACGAAGCATTCTTTAAGGAGGGTAGAATGTGATACCTTGAAAATTTGAAATAAAAATAAATAAATAAATCAGATAAGTTATATCTGGTAAATCAAATGAAAGTAAGATCAAAATATTTTTTTTATTATACTTGGTGTATAAAAATATACGCACACTACATGCAATAGAATTAAACACTTATGTAGCATCGGAAAAAAAAAATGGAAATAAATCAGATAAAATATAGGTGACAGAATGAATAAATAAATAAATAAATAAATAAATAAATAAATAAAAATAGTAAGAATATTATAAATTACTAATAATAGCATCAAATTAATAAATGAAAATATCATATCATAAAACAATGACACATGCTAAGATCACCTACCAAATAATGTATATACATTATGTACATATATTTAAATATATATATTTATATGTAAAACTCAAAATACATTTAAGTAATTAAAAATAATAATAATAAAATAAAATAAAATGAAACATCAATATAAATGGGAATCAAATCAGGGATCAATACACATGCCATGTTCATCAACTACCAACCTATCATTATGTATAGACATTATTATTATTATTATTATTATTATTCATACAATTATCAAATAAATAAAATAAACCATAAGGACCATCTAGACCTATAAATACACCCTCTTAGCCATCCTAAACACTGCAAATCGGAGAGATAGAAGCTATATATACATATACATATATATACATAATCTCGCCGGAAAATTCATGCCTATAATATTTTACGTATCAAACTTCGTAAAAACGATAGAGGAGGGTCGTGAGAGGTCTAGGAATACTTCCCAATAAATTCCAGACCGATTCATAGTCACCGGAGCATCCTAGAGGTCGCCGGAGTTGCAAGCCGTGGAAACGGGTCTTCATAAAAGACACGATTTTGCCGTAGATATGGGTGGAGGAGATTCTCCTCGACGTGAGGATCATTTTGCAACTTGAATCGTCGAAATCCGTTACCTGTAAGTAAAGTTATCGCTCGCCGGAGTTTACGGGATTCCGGTCGCCGGAATCGCGACCTGGAGAAGAGCTGGGAAAGAGACAACCCAGTCTTCTTGGGCCGGGTCGCGAATTTGGGCCGGTTCGGCCCGTTTTCAATAAAAAATTAAAAATAAAATAGTAAATGAAATAAATAAAATATGGAAAAATATAAATTAAATACCTGGTATAAAAATACATATTCGGACCAAGAATAATTGAAAAATAATATTTGTAGCTATTTTTAATTGATTTAATTGTAATTGGGCCAAGTTATACACATTTAGTAAATAATTAACTAAATGACGAAAATAATTATGAAATAAATATGGGAGAAATCTAGATTAAATATATGACTAAATAGGACGTTTGGGACCATTTATAATTAATAAATATTATAATTAGCATATTTAATTGTAATTAAACCGGTTAATAGATATATGAAATTAAGTGAATAAATAAAGGAAATAATTCTAAAATAAATATCTGGACAACCTAGGTCAAGTATAGACCCAAACTATAGTTATGGATGATTAGTAATTTATAAAAGTGATGATTAAGTTATTTAATTTAATTGAGCCATATAAACTAGTTAAGTAATTAAATAAGGAAATTTTGATATTAATGGTGAAATAAATGAATCACTGAGATTGAAAATAATGTTCTGGACTAAAAATGATGTTTGTAATAAAATAAGGAAAAGAAAATAAAGTTGGGTTATCTAGTATAAATGAATGACTATATTTGGACTTAATAAATAAATTATTGAATTAGTTGACTAATTAAATTAGCGTGATTAAATTAATAATTATTATCCTTGATTATTAGTGATTTGGACTCCATATAAATTATTAAACTATTTGAACTCATAAAAAATTAGTTGATGAATATAAACAAATTAATTAAGTAATGTGTACTTAATAAGTTAGTTAATTGACTTCATTGAACTAGTTTAACTAAATCAATTAGTTTAATGGATAAATTAGTTAATTTATAGACTTGATAACATTTCTGGACTTTATATTAAAAATAGAAAATTAAAACGAGATTAGAATTTAATTATTGGACTTAATTGAATTAGATTAACGTATTTAGCTATATTGATATAATTAAACTTATTTATTTGATTTAGTTAGTTCAATTAAATTAGTGAGTCAAATAAATAAAACTGGAGGATTGTATAAATTAATTTAATTGGGTTAGTTAGTATAAATAAACTATTGAACTAATTAAAGTTGTTATTGAGATTAGATTATCATTAATGATTATTATTTCGAATTATTGCCTAAGTCAAGTTATTATTAAAAGGGTTAGTAAATAAATTATATAAATTATGTAAACTGAATTTTGAACTGAAATTGATTATTTAAATTCGAAATAATGAAATTATTATGAAGTTAATATAATTGGACCAGTAAACTATTTAACCAAACAAATTAAGAAAAAACCGAGTTGGGTTAATATAATTAAAGAAAATAATAAGAATGAACTGGAAATAAACAGTTAGTAAGATTTATTAATTTAATATTTATATTTAAAGAAGGAATTATGAAGTTAAAGTAGTTAAAGGTTGGATATAAAAGAAATAACGAAATAATAGAATAGTTATTGATTTAGAATTTTGATCAATATTAGAAGGAGAATTCAAGTGAAGATCAAGCTAGAGATTTTATTAAGGAGATTATCGCAATTTAAGGTAAGTTCTATGTCAACCAAAATGTTTTGCCTCGTACTTATATGTATGCAATATTTGCACTATGTGAATTATTTATGAATTGGAAATTATATGTTTGACATGGATCGAATATTTTGACTATATGAATATTGGTGGATTATTACCTTTTATGGATGATTAAATGTATATTCTTTTTATTAAAGAATATTGGTGGATTTATATTTATTACAAAGGATATTTTGAGAAAATGTGACAAGAATGATTTGGGGAAAACTTAAAGTTTTCATAATATATATTCTTACGTCTCGAGAGAAACACGAGGCGTGGGTGGTTAGGGCTACTACTACTTTTGGTGGAATTTATTTGGGTCGGTAACCAGTCCGGCAATGACATACTCCGGTAGACATCCCGGGCTTTTATTTGAGGATCAAAGATCCTTTGGTGGTCGTAGTAGTAGTTACCTAATTTACCCTTGGACAATGTCCCTTGTGAGTAGGTGGTAGAAAACATCCTGCCTACTTGGGTTTCTTACTACTCGGAGGGCTTGGAATCCCTTTTAGAGGGTGTGCACACTTAAGGTAGAAATTCAGCTTCCAATTGGTGGTCGGTGGGAGCCGGAATTCCGGGATGAGTCGTAGATAACAACGACTCATTGGGCTCGAGGAATCTTGAGTTTCGCCCACTCTTAAAAGAATCTAAAGTATTACTTTTGGAAGAATTGAAGGATGATCTTATCTATTGTGGAAATTATTTTATGACATTAAACCATTTTGAAAATATGAGAGACTACTTTTCAATATATATACATATACAAAAACCTATTTTCCAAATTATATTATTTTACGGGTTCGGGTGGAATCTTACTTAGCTCTAAAGCTAATTTTTGTCTCTTTTCTCTTTTTCTCTTTGCTCTATTGTACAGATGATTATGATTATGAAGATTGATGTACTTGCTGCCCGAGTGTTCCGCTAGTTGCACACGTTTGATTAATTATTGTTGTTTAAATTTGTAATCCATAAACTTTGTTTAAGTTTTATCTGATGACTACTTGAATTAATGGTGGATAGCCTGTGCACTCAATCATGTATAGGTTGAGTGTGGCGGTGACACACCTGTTTTTCCATCAAAGACTTCCGCTGTACTCTAAATATGTTTTATAATAAAGATGTTTTCATTTCAAAATGTTATTTTATTTTGGTGGGGAAAATGGGGGTGTTACATCTCTTGCGCCCATAGTGGCTCCTTGTTGTGCTTGGATGCGGGCTGCATGGGCCTGGTTGATCTAGTGGTCTGCATCATCTTCATGCAATTTGCCTTTTCCTTTGTCCAGGTGGGGCCGATCCACTGTTCGGGGCACCGACTCAGAGCTTTCCTTAGGTGATCCTGACCCACGCTCGCCTGACCATTTTGCCATCCTCTCCGATATAGGTCGGCAGTGCGTGTTTCCTAGTCTGTTAAAGGTCGGGGTTTTGCCACACCTGGGAGTTGGCCCAACTCGGGGAGGAGAGGGGGTGTGTGAGGCCGTGTCTTGGGCGACGACATTTTCGTCATTGTCGTTGAAGGTGACGACCGGAAGCAGTAGTGGAGGTGGAGGCGGTGGTGTCGTTCCCTCTCATGTCTTGGGCATGAGGGCGCTTAGGACGATGGGGTTCTGGGTCAGGTTAGCAATGATAGCCGATAGTGCGGCATGGACCTGGTGGTCAATCCAAGGAGTAGTCTGTTTCCCCGAAGCACGATCACCCTTCTCCTTGTGCTAGCCTACAAGGCCGATGCGGGCGTCCTGAGCATTGATGTTGAGAAGGTCGTGTAACACCCCGGCCCCGTGGGACCCGAGGTAGTTACTTCAGACCTCTAGTACTGTCCTCACAAACCACCACGAGCCTTTACCGCGCACTTTGTCCTCACTCATGCGCGCCCTGAGAAACTTCCCAGGGGGTCACCCATCCCAAGACTACTTCCGAGCAAGCACGCTTAACTTTGGAGTTCTTAGGTAATGAGCTCCCTTAAAAGGAGATGCACCTCTGTTGGTATGAGTAGTACTATTAATCCATTTATATTAAATCTCAAGTGTTCACTAGTAGAAAACTGTCTTATAGTGACACTTCACTAGTGACACTTTCTGATAAAGTGTCACTATTAGACGACATATATTATTAACGATGCATAAGTGTCATACGTATATGACACAAAAACATCAGCAAATAATAATGACACAAAATAAAAAAAAGTATGAATTTTAACCTTAACAAATATTCACTTTTCTTTTCCCTCCTAAAAAAACTTCCCACCATCTATTTTTAGTAACCCCACACCAACACTTTCTTTCCTTAGCAAAAATTTCTCATCCACTTCTTTCTTTCAAATTAAAGTAATTAAGTGGCCTGGTGAGACCGGTCAAAATAAACCCACCCTACCTTTCTTTCCTTCTCTTCTGTCGATCGATTAACTCACTCCACTTCTTTCCTTAGCATAGAACCCTAAATACATCGTTGTTGAATACCATCGATGTCGATCGATTAGCTTCTCTGCTGAATACCTTCGCCGCTGCTGAAGGCTACGAAGAACACCACCGACGGCTCTCGATCGTCAGGTAGCTTGGGAAGAACTTCACCGGTACGGTCGATATCCATATTCTGCGAAGAACACCACCGACGGCTCTCGATCGTCAGGTAGCTCTTCTCCTTCCGGTTTTTGGTTATTGGGGGTGTGATAGTGTAACACCCTAAAATCTTGTCTAGCCGGTAACGTAAAATTCTGAAATAATCTTAAACTGTTAAATGATTATAAATACTAATGATAAAATAGGCTATCAATAAATGATGTTAATCCAATTAGAACTTATGTATCACGTTTCGTAATACTTTTCAATAAAACTAAAGCTCAAGCCATTAAGTAATTATTTTAAGATCTTTATATTTTAAAGCCATAATTATATATTTTAATTTGAAAAGGGGTGGCATAGTGTCGGGTCCTCATTTGAGACCTGCTAGAGTGGGGATAACACTCCTCATGTACATTTTAGAAGTGTTGGTGTTGACCAGTACTATAATCGGCCACAGAGAAAATTTGGGTGTAGTTTTTGTTGAACACTTGGATACATAGGACAAAATTGTTGCTGGAGACTCCAAAATAAAATTAAAGTCACCGTAGTAGCATTGTTTGTCCTAGAATGCATGGTATAGTCCACTTGGAAGTCTAGCTATACACTAGCATGCATATGACTAAATTGTTCCAGCATGCATGTGATATCACACTTGGAAGACTCAAAGCACTGAATCCTCACATTGATGCCCTACGTGTTGCTAGGATAGGAGGGCCGATAGTGCAAAATTTGGCCTCATCTTCGGGATGTAGAACGACTAAAATTTTGCTAGTGGCTCAGAACCTACATGTGTATTTCTATATAACCATTTAACCTACTTAATAGAACTACCTTTCGTCTAACACACAAAAAAAAAACTAAATTAAACAAGAAGAAGAAGAAAACGTAGCAGTAGCTAGCTAAATTGAAGCGCGGTGAGGTGAGGAGGAACTTCCGGCCTGCTTAGTCATATCCCTTGTAAACCCTTTTCAATAATCTAAGGTTAGTACGTTTTCAACCCCATTTATTTAATGGGTATTTCAATATGTTTATTTCAGTATAATTTCCGTCCCCGTTTCTCTTATGTTAATGGGGATGATGATGAACATCATATAGTTTTAGATATGCTCTGTGTGCTTTAAATAGTGCTCTCCAAATTTATAAGAATGATTGCTTGTGAATACCAAATAATCAATCTAATAGTAATTACCTTTTTAATCAATATGAACGTCAACTAAAAATAAAATTTAGCTGCGTATTTCAGAAGAAAAATAGATTAAAATTTATGGTTAGCTTATTATAACGATTTGATACATAAGTATTGAGAATGTAAAAGAAGATCTATTTTACTTAGAATAATATACCTGGCCTTACGATTGATATAGATCGAATTATGATAACATGCATGTGTGTATGTGCCCTATACTTTTTAGAAAAATAGGAGAAATAGGTCGAATTACATAAAATTGAATTAGGGAGCTTGTATAGCATTAACATAAGTATATACGAAGTACATATCAGTATGATTAATATGCATGTGTTGGTTGTCACATTAAACTACACGTTAGGACAGCCTCAAAATGAGTTATAAATATTTAACCGTGTACTCATTAGTTATTTAGCATACATGCATACATGAGGCAATTATTTACATGAGTCACATGACTAGCTGCATGAGTTATAAAGTTAGATCTTATAAATAAAAGTATATAGAAAAATATGCACTTACTTCACATTAAGATCCATCCATATAAAGATTTCGGCCATGCGTCTGTATTTATAATTTCTCATTTTATACATATAATAATATTTTTCGGCCTGGTCATTGAAGTAAAATAAAAATATTTGATGTCCATGCACTAACTACATAAGTAAATGACTTACGGTGAGTATACGTGTAGAATGTACACCATCTTTAGATTTTAGCAATAAATAACATGCATGCATAATAGACATGATCACATACATACATAGATTACACATTACATACGTAGTATATAATTTGCATGGGTGCTCTAACTAAATATTAAAGTATAATAATATGATATGTATACACATATGTGACATGCATGCATGTATTAACTTAATTAGTGACCCACTTATGTATTTACGTATATATAAATAAGTAGTAATTATTATTCTCAAATTGATAGTAATTTGTCTAGCATGAAAATATGAATATTCATATATACGTAGGACGTGGGTTACTCGTTACATATATGTATGTTGAATGAATAGGTATATACCGACGATTTAAATGGTTAGACCAGAATGTACACCTTACTTAATAATAAAAGCAAAATATTAAGATAAATTGAATTTGGTGGTTTAAGTAATTGTTTTTGTTAATCGGTCAGATAACATATAAATTGAAAATGTGTTTTCTAATTGTTATTCTTAGTACGTATTCAACAAGTCACTTTTTGTTAGATAACATATAAATCTTATATTTGAAAATCATTTATGTACTTAAATAATTATTTGTAATTAAAATAAAAGATGAGTATTATTATGGAAAAAGCCTTGCTCTTGGTCCGGTACACTGACTAGGATACTCCTGTTCTGTTTAGTGTACTATGTACACTCCTGAAATTCTGTTTAGAGGAAATAGTGTTCTCCTGTTTAGTGTACTATGTACACTCCTGTTCTGTTTAGTGTACTCCGTACACTCCTGAAATATTTTTAAAGCACTATTACTCTCCTGTTAAGGTTCGGGTCTCTTCGGTGATTCCGTCCTTTCTGTTCAGCTAGCTTCTGTCAGGGATTGGTACGTGTAGCTCCGGCGATTACGTTTCCATATTTCTTCTGGGTAATGTGGATACGGACTTCGATCGACCGTATTCCTTACCGTTAGTATGCCTCGGTCTAGGTCCAGATTCTAGAGTTCAAGGCTAAATGAATATGTATTTTTCAATGATAAGTTTCAGAATAAGAATTATCTGATAATTATGATATCTGAGTATGCTTCTGTTCTGTACACAAGAAGAATATAATAAGTATCTCAGAATAAAATTATCTGACAATTATGATATCTGAGTATGATTCTATTCTGTATGTAAATATCTGTATTTTTATAACAGCTGATCGGTTCACCCAGGTATGTTATATGTTTGTCTGATCAAATGTGAATTATGATATGTTAATATGTTCTTTGATATGTTAATATTATTGTTATGATATTACCGTACCACTCAGCACATTGCTGAGCGGGTAGTTGTGTGTTTTCCTACCCGTAGGTTGAGCACGGAACCCGCTAGGAGCACAGGGATGGAAAGAGGCGTAGGACGCATTTGCATGCCATGTTATTTGGTGTTTTTTTTATAAAGGACTTTAATATGTCATATGTGATTTTAAGAACTTCCGTTGCACTCCTTGAAGTGTTTTATGATGTTTAAGTTATGTCTGTTTTAATAACATTCTACTCCATGTGAGTTTGACATTTTCTGGTATTTAGTAATGAAGTCGTTTTGGAATTAATACACTTATTTTAAGTAATAAAATCTCTTATTAAATGTTTTGTGTTTAAAGTAAAAAAAAGGCACTATTTCTTGAACCACGAAAAGTATTTTTGATTAAATCCGTTCTGATTTTCCGCCAAGTGACGCGCCACTCGGGTCGGCAGGGCCGGGCCGGGCCGGGCCGGGTGGGGCGTTACAGATAGGCCTAGGGGTGAGTTAGTTTCAGTATGACCTAAACCCAGGTCATAGATAGTACTCACCAATTTGGGGTGAGTTAGGTGTGCGTCTCTGTCTTTCGGTTAGGTTACGAAGGGGGTTATTTTTTCTCAACTTTTTTCTACAATTAACACAACAGGTCAGTGAGGTTTGTACAGGTCAGTGAGGTTGATAAGGTTTGATGTTTATAAAAGGGGAAAATGAAGACAATAGTCTTACTGGATTATTACTGCTTCAACATTCAATAAACACTTACCAAGATTGGATCTTTTTGCCATAAAAGCCTGTCTATTACAGTTTCTAAGGTTATATATATGTATGTCTGTATATATACGAAGTACTGGGTATGTGTAAGTTTTATATAGGCTATCTATTATACGAAATTTATTAATGGCTACATACTTGTTGAACTTGGTCATTTTGAGATGAAAATTGATCAACCCACACTTTTCTGGAATTCATTTCCACTTCACAGTATTTTCTTAAGACTAATAAGTGACATAGCTTAAAGTTTGATTTTGTTTCCCTTTTCAAAAATAAATGTAGGCCTAAATATTTATCCTAAGGAACACTTAAATGATATCTCCATTACTACATATATACATATCTAGATATGTGTATGTTTTATATATATATGTATGTCTGTATATATATGAAGTACTGGGTATTTTTTTAATATTTCGGGTGGACAAATTTGTATGGTAAATACAGGAGCATCAAGATTCAAGAGGTTGTAAATGGGATTCAAGAGTTTTTTTAAATACATGGGGTAGTTTGTATTGATCTGTTTTCTTTGTCTTAGAACAGAGCCAGGTGCATGCCCAACTATCTTTCGTCAAGACATACTTTTTAAAAGGATATCATGATAAAATGAAAAACAAGCCATGGAAAATTAAGGATACTCGATTTTGTGTACTTGAGGCTATCGTTTGCCCTAATATTTGACTTAAAGTTTTCACTTGTCTCTTTTAAATATTCTTCTTAAAAGTTCTCATTCTTATTCTAACAAATAATTAACCCTTCCAAATGATAATTTAATCATGGTCTGAGTTAGAGAATGGTAAGATGAAAGAGAAGCATCAATTCCCGGCACTAGCAGAGTCTACGTGCGTGTCTGGGATGACATATTTTGAATAACTACATTTGTTTTGGGAGGGAAGTATGTTTACTTCAAAAAGTGAGAGTCTATAATACGATAGTGAAAATAAAACGACTGCTTAAGTGATTTGTGATTTCACTTTCTGAGAGTCTATGCTCTTCTCCCGCATAGACTCTACTCTTTAAGTTGTTGTTTAATACGATAGTAGATTCCTGGTTGTTCTTGGATCTTATAATTAACTGTTTTTCTTCATAGTGACAATTTTTTTCTAAAAATTGTGGATAAGCTCTTTAATATTTGGATGGAACTTATTGCTTTTAACCTTATACTATGTTAAAAGAAGCTCACTGTTTATATCCTAAATCTACTGATGTTTCACTTTATAAGTTTTACTACAATTAATATCTCACCAAACTTAAGGAAGCATCTTTATCATCTACAATTTAGAAGTAGAAATGAAAAGTACTGCTATTTCTTATGGCTTATACAAAAGTACTGCTTTTTAAACTATTGAAGATATGTAAACACAAATACTTCTTATGGATTATACAAAAGTACCGCTTTTTAATGCACTTTTTTTCCCTACATGTACTACACTATTAATACACTATCTTTTTTAGCTATTAATCTGTAGAAGAAATCATCTAAGTATATGAGATAAACACAAACACTTCTTATGGCTTGTAGAAAAGTACTACTTTTTAATGTAGTTTTCCTAATTTGCACTTCAGGTGTTAAGGTTGAGACTGTTGTTTTCCTAATTTGCAGAATCTCCAAAGGCTTCTTTTAAGATCTGATCCATGAATTGACTGTCCAGGCACGCACGGTCTACAAATATTTTTGTTCAGCTAACTTATAACTTCCTCAAGAGGTATGTTTCTGAAATTGTCTGGTGCTAAAAATTCAATACATTATTTTGTTAATTTCTGAAATGATTAACTCATTACCATGACTGTATGTTTGTATATGATCGAAATGATTGCATGAGTAAAACTTTGTGGTGCTCAAATTATAATTCAGTCTACTATGTACACTTGGGAAAACACATCTATTTTTGTAAAGTACTCAAGGCTCAATCCTAGAAATACAGTCATATGTGGTCTTCAAATAGTAAAAATAAAACACTCAAGACTAACTTGAATAATATATGTGGTCTAGAAATTAGTAGTAATATATATAAAACACAAAAAGCGCTATGTAGGATGTATTTTATTTTTTTGTGTAAAACTGATCAGTTAAATATGACAAATTGGAACTCAATTATCAGGTAACATTCAAATGGACAAATCATGGATAAAGAATGACAATAGGTTGTCTGAAGAATACACGGATGGAGTCAATTATTTCATAAACTTTGCTATGCTTAACTCCGAAAACCGTAGATTACTTAGATGTCCCTGTAACACGTGTTGCAACATGGACCTTCACAGTCCTGAAAAAGTTAAAGTCCATTTGCTTAAGTATGGGTTTCTGAATACGTACCTTGTTTGGAATTGGCACGGGGAGGTTCAAAAACATCATTTTCTTTTCACTCACAGTCAGCCCTCCATGATCAAAGCCAACTTGAGGACATGTTAGGTAACGTTTTTGAACAATTTGACAGTCACCCAAAGAATTTTAGGGATGTAGTTGAAGATGCCGAAAAGCCATTGTACTCATGTTCAAGTTATTCGAGGTTATCCGGGTTGATGTTGTTGTATAATATAAAGGGGAAATATGGGTGGTCTGATCAAGGATTCACAGCTTTGTTAGAAGCTATTTCAAACTTATTACCCGCAGAAAACACCATTCCGAAATCCATGTATGAAGCTAAGAAAATATTGAAAGTGTTAGGGCTAGGCTACCTAAAAATACATGCTTGTCGTAATGACTGCATTCTTTTCCATAAAGAGCACGCTGATCTTGACAAGTGCCCAACATGTGGAGAGTCTAGGTGGAAGGAAAAAAAACGGAGCTATAACAGCTATCAATAAAGTTCCAGAGAAAGTTCTTTGGTATTTTCCTCCCATTCCTCGGTTTAAACGTATGTTTCAGTCACCGAAAACAGCAGAAAACTTGACATGGCATGCAAACCAACACATCAAAGATGGGAAACTGTGCCATCCAGCAGACTCTCCTGCTTGGCACCATATTGATAACACATGGCCTGATTTCGGTGTAGAGTCTAGGAATCTAAGATTAGCTCTTTCAAGTGACGGAGTTAATCCACACAGTTCCCTTAGCTCTAAATATAGTTGTTGGCCCGTTCAGTTAGTAGTTTATAATCTTCCTCCTTGGTTGACTATGAAGAGAAAATTCATGATGTTGTCTCTATTAATATCTGGGCCTAAACAGCCGGGCAGTGATATAGATGTGTATCTAAAGCCCTTGATTGATGACCTGAAAACCCTCTGGAATGATGGGGTAGATGTTTATGATGGGTTTAGAAATGAAACCTTCAACTTAAGGGCTGTATTGATGTGGACGATTAGCGATTTCCCGGCATATGCCAACTTGAGTGGGTGTACTGGAAAGGGGTATTACGCATGTCCAGTTTGTGGTCCTTCAACCTCCTCAACCTGGCTAAAATGCAGTAAGAAGTGTGCTTACATGGCTCACCGCCGTTTTTTGCCTCATGATCATAAACTAAGAAATATGAAAAAATTGTTCAACAATAAAGTTGAAAGAGAAGGACCTCCTGCAACCTTGTCGGGTCAATATGTCCTTAAATTGGTGGAAGATATTAATTATAAGAGTGGAAAGCAAAAGGGAGTCAAGAGAAAGCGTACGAAAAAGAATGAAGACATGAAAAATAAATTGTTTAAAAGGAAATCAATATTTTTTGATTTGGATTATTGGCAACATTTATTAATCCGACATCTCTTAGATGTGATGCACATTGAGAAAAATGTGTGCGAGAGCATCTACGGGACGCTACTTGATTAATCCACAAAGACAAAAGATGGCATTAAGGCTCGGAATGACCTTCTTCATATGAAGATTAGGAAAAAGTTAGTTCCCGATGATAGTTCTAATTCCTTACCTCCAGCACCATACACCTTATCCAAAGCAGACAAAAAAAAGTTCTGTCAAACCATATTGGATATCAAGGTTCCAGATGGTTATTCTTCAAATTTGAAAAGCATAGTGTCTGAAGATGACAATAATCTTCAAGGTCTCAAATCACATGACTGCCATACCCTGATGCAACAAATTCTTCCTTTAGCCATTCGAAACTTGTCTCTCTCAAAAGATGTTACCAATTCTATAATTGATATGTGTCTTTTTTTCAATTCATTATGTGAGAAGGTGTTGGATAATGATGCACTTGACATACTAGAGTCTAATCACCGGGTTACACTATGTCGTTTGGAGCAATATTTCATGCCTGCTTTTTTTGATATAATGGTTCACTTAACTGTTCATCTCGTTGCCCAAGTTCGATTGTGTGGGCCAGTTTACCTATGTTGGATGTATCCTTTTGAACGATTCATGAAGTTTTTAAAAGGATATGTGCGTAACTATTACCATCCGGAGGGATGCATGGCTGAATGCTATGTGGCAGAGGAAGCATTAGAGTTTTGTACTGAATATCTTTCAAATCATGAGTCAATTGGATTACCCAAGCATTCTGGTGAGGATGGGCCATGTAACACCCCGGCCCCACCGGACCCGAGGTAGTTACTCCGGACCAATAGTACTGTCCCCACAAACCACCACGAGCCTTTACCGCGCACTTTGTCCTCACTCATGCGCGCCCTGAGAAACTTCCCAGGGGGTCACCCATCCCAAGACTACTCCCGGGCAAGCACGCTTAACTTTGGAGTTCTTAGCGGATGAGCTCCCTTAAAAGGAGATGCACCTCTGTTGGTATGAGTAGTACTATTAATCCGTTTATATTAAATCTCAAGTGTTACAATCACCCCCACTTAGGATCGCAACGTCCTCGTTGCGCCCTTAAACCAATCTCAATCAAATCCCAGAAAACTTTTCCCCTACTAGATGTCTGCCCGATATCCAACGGATCAGGAAAGTGTCGCAGGGTTGCTTTGATACCACTTGTAACACCCCGGCCCCACCGGACCCGAGGTAGTTACTCCGGACCAATAGTACTGTCCCCACAAACCACCACGAGCCTTTACCGCGCACTTTGTCCTCACTCATGCGCGCCCTGAGAAACTTCCCAGGGGGTCACCCATCCCAAGACTACTCCCGGGCAAGCACGCTTAACTTTGGAGTTCTTAGCGGATGAGCTCCCTTAAAAGGAGATGCACCTCTGTTGGTATGAGTAGTACTATTAATCCGTTTATATTAAATCTCAAGTGTTACAGGCCACCAGAAAGGCCGGTAGGACGTGGAGACACGCAGACTGTTGATTCCTCACTATTTGAGCAAGCACATCATACCGTGTTGTTTAATACCCCTGAAGTTCAACCTTATATACAGTATGACTTAACTTTTATAAAACTCTTACTTAAGTTTTTCTTCACTTCCATATTTAACAAGTTTTCTAATATTATCCAAATAGGGAACACATGGATATATTACAATCACAGGATATTGCTTGTTGTGATACAGAGCATTATCGCACATTTGTTGACTGGTTTGATGAGAAGGTTTATAAATCTAACCTTATCTATATACATAACAAATAATAAGAGCCAAATGTATTTAAAATTCAATATTTATTTGTAGGTTTGTGTTGATGTTGCGAATGGTGTGACTGTCGCTGAAACAGTGAGGTGGTTAGCTAAGAAGCCTAACTCAACAGTGACAGTATACTCAGGCTATAATATAAATGGTTTTTCCTTTGCAACTAAGGATCGAGATTCGAATCGGGTAACACAAAACAGTGGTGTTAGACTCGTAGCAGAAACTGTTCAAGTTTCCAGCTCTAAGGATAAAACTCCATGTGTAGCATCGATGAATTATTATGGGGTCCTTGATGAGATTTGGGTCTTGAACTATCTTATGACTAAGAGAGTTGTTTTCAAGTGTTCTTGGGTAGATAGTAGGTATGTGAAAACTGACAAGTTGGGCTTCACAGTAGTGGATCTTAATAAGATAGGTCAAAAAATGATTGTTTCATTTTAGCTTCACATGCCAAACAAGTTTTTTATGTGAGAGATCAACTTGATCCTAAAAAATCAATAGTGTGTTCAGTTGGACAGAAGGTTAGTAATGGTATGGATGTTGACAGTGATGAAATGATATTACACGAACCTTTAACTTCACAATACCCAAACCATTTTAACGATGTGGAAGCTGAAGATGATGATCAAATTTATCATAGGATTGACATTGATGCAATTCCAGTACCCAATGAGTCTCAATTACCCTGATATATGTACTTCGTTCAGTAAGTTATATGCGTACTTGAATCATTCTACTGTTGTGATTCATTACTATTTTTATTTTCACTAATTAAATAATAACTGCATATTTGTATTATTTTTTATTTGTATATAGGTGAAAGCTAGCCATGTCAAAGAATGAAGAAGCCATGGATGATTTTGATGTGGACAAAGGGTTGGATGATTTGGGCCAACGCCCTAAAAGGAGACAAAAGACAAAGAAGAAAATGCTACTAAAGAAAGCTGCAGATGATAAGGTGGTGGTAAAGGTGAATAGCTTTGGTGTTCATGCAGGTAAAGAATGGACAGAACTGACCAATTATATTGGTGTCTTAGTGCGGGATCATGTTTCCATAGTGCATGATGAATGGAGACATGTGAAAGTTAAACTTAAAGATGAAATGTGGAACCATCTTAAGGTAATAAATAATGTTTGTTGAAAAATAAGGCTATATTTCAGTATTTTAACTCTTAATCTGCTAGAGGGCTAACAACTTTATATTAAATTGTATGTAGGAATTGTTCGTGTTGAGTGACAATTCAAAAAAACATGTGTTAGCTACTATGAGTGTAGCTTTCAGAAATTTCAAATCTATGCTGCGAAATGACTTTATCTATCAACATGCGCATAACCTGGAGAAGTTAGCATTACCTCCCACGGAGTACAAACAGATTTCGAAGAAAGAATGGAAATTATTTGTGAAGAAAACTTTCTCTGAAGAATTTGTGGTAAGTGATACTCCTACACTTCAAGATTTTTTAGTAAACTGTGAAAGACTTACAATTTGAGTATTACTTTGTTTCATTTCAGGAGAAAAGCCAAAAAGCGAAAGCGCGCCGAAAAAAGCACAAATTGAACCACCGATTGGGTTCTACTGGATATGGAGGCTTGCTTGTAAAGAAGGTCCTTCATCAATGACTATCAATGACTATTATTATAACAATATATAGTGTTGAGCTATTTATTCGTCCATTATATTACTGTTGAACTTATTCTTCTTCTAACTTCCAGCTAAAAGAACTTGGAGTCAAAAATCTGGAAGACATTGATCGTTGTGACACGTGGTTGCTTGGCAGGAAAAAAAAAGATGGGACCTATGATGATGATGTCAAAGAAGTGGCAAATGAAATAGTAAGTGTAACTATGTTTTTCTGATTTAAAAATGTTAATGTAGAATTTCTTTAGCAACTAACTACGTTCCCAACCTTTGTTCAGGAGGACCTGAAGCGCAAAGTACAGGAGGGGTCGTTTGTGCCTAGTGGGGATGCTGATGTTCTTTCCACTGCTCTTAAGAGAAAACCTAATGGCAGTAGAGTTCAAGGGTTGGGACACTTCATAACCCCAACACAATACTTCCACAGGCCAAAAGAGACAAGATCTGATCGGGAAAAGGAGCATGAGATGTGTGAGCAAAGGTACAAGATGATGGTTCTTAAGTTTGATGAAATGAGGACACAAGTGTCGCATGCTATAAGTGAAATTGGCAGTTCAAGTGTTCCCAAAAATTCTCCTATTGTAAAGGTATACACACATTTTTCTGTTCTGAGTTATGGCTTAGGTTTAAAAAGTGACTGCTTATAAATCTATAAATGGAATGGAAACTTCTGAAACAGAAATAAGGAACAAATGTTAAAAAAAAGAGTATAAGTTAAGTTATAACTTAAAATTAACTTGTTATCTAATCTGCAAAGTTAAGTTATAAAAACTAAAGTGACTGCTTATCAAATCAGATTTTAAACTAGTTTATCTAATCTAAAGTCTAAACAAAACCAAAACAAGCATAACATGAAAACCACTTCTTACATGGTTAAGTAATTTTGATAAGTAATACCACTGTTAATAAGTAACATATGTGTTTGTTGATGTTATATCATTGATAGGCTGCTGAAGAGGTAGATCAACCAAAACTTACTCCGGTGAAGAGACGTCGTGCTACTGTCCCCAGGAGCTCCCCCCCACACAGCTCCAAGAAGAAGGAGCCCAAGTCAAATGAGAGTGAAGAAGAAGGAGATACAAAAGGAAAGCGAAAGGTATATAAATCCAACGTGTTTTTCCATATTATTTGTATCTCTAATTTTATCCAAAGATTTGATTAGGGACCTTATACTTTTTCAGTTTTAAAAAAATTCACTCTAAAATAACTTCTTGAAAAGAAGTCTCTATATTAATATTGTATAGTATCTTAAGGGTGGGAACTTAAAATTATGGAGTGTATATTTATGAAGTTATTAACCTATTAATCTTCTGAATTTTGGTTATTAAGGCAATTGAAGTGCCAGAAGAACAAAAGTTGACTCCCCAGAAAAAACATTTTGCAGCAGTTTCAAGAAGGTCCCCGAGAATCATGCAAATGAAGAATCTTTCCGGGGAGAATGTAGTTAGAGCAGCTAACAACGCACCAATAAGTGAAGCATCACGAGAACAGGTTGTGAGTCAACTAGGTGGTACTCAAACAAAGGTATTATTCAATCATATTCTTTATAATATAATAAGCTGAATTTATGTTTTTTTACATTAAACTTTGTGGCATAACTGTGAAAATAAAAGATTATTCAATCATCTTCTAAAATGTATTTGAGGTTGAACCTCCTCACCTCAAGGAAGAACGCACTCCAGAGAAGTTGATTGAAGTTGAAACGGGGGGTGTTATAGTTGTTAAAGAACATGCAAGGACTAAGATGAAGTCAAGGCAACAACCGGCAAGGAAACTAATTATGCAAAGAACTACAAGGTTTGCTGCTGAAAAAAGAAAAGAGCTAAGCAATAGCATGAAGATGTTTTCTATGTTAGTTGACAAATGCCTGGGAGATGGGTACATGGTTGAACATGATGCAGAAATATTCGGGTTTGCAACTAAATCTATTTTCAACAAGGATGTGTGCAGCCTTGTAATCAACTTTGAGCAGGTGAACAATTCCGTTGTAGAAATCTGGTCTAGGTAAGTCTAATTTCGTTGTGCAGCCATGCTGAAAATTATCATGAGTGGTGTTAGTTTTTGAGCTCTATATGAATATAACTTAATAGCTATGAGGTTGATAAGGTTTGATGTTTATAAAAGGGGAAAATGATGAAGAGAATAGTATTGTTGGATTAATACTGCTTCAACCTTCAAGAAACACTTACCAACATGGCAACATTGGATCTTTTTATATATACGAAGTACTGGGTATGTGTATGTTTTATATAGGCTATATATCTATTATATATGAAGACATAGTATGTGTATGAAGACAATAGTATATATACAAAGGCTATATAGACATATATAAAAGGGTATCTATAAAAGGGTATCTACAAAGTTTATGAGCTCTATATGAATAAAACTTAATGTGAATTTTTTTGATTCGATGTGTAGGCACTTATATGAGAAGATGCTTCAAGATGGAGGTAATATGCCTGTCCAATTTGGCACGTCTGCTGCAGTACCAGTACCATTGAAACTCTCAGATGAGTCCATCACAAGGAGGTCTCGCTATATAGCAGATCTTTTGGGTGTTGGTTTGCTTGGACAAATCACATTAATCCCATATAATACATGATAATTAAGATGGTTAGAAGTATTACACTAAATCTTTTTTTGCTACTGATTCATATCCTTTTATTTCAACTTGGAATTTTTTATAGGAATTGATTAATGTTAAAATATAACGTGCAGCAACCATTGGGTGTTGGTAGCCATTGATACACTCTCATGGACGGTGTACTATTTGGACTCAATCGGAGGGAATCCATCAGAAGATCTGTCACTAATTGTGAACCAGTTAAGTTATTTTTTAGTGTCGTACATTGTGGTACTTAATTACATGCATGTATGTAGCTATGCCTTTTGTTGTAATTGTTTCAGTCAGAGCGTTGTGTTGAAAAATAGACTTCTATAAGTCTATGAAAAAATAATGTACTCATATCTAACTTGTATTTGAATATCAGGGGAGTGAAAATTCATCATGCCTCGGTTTCAAAGAAGAGGTTATCTTTGAATTGGGTTACAGTCATGGTATGTTCTTCATTAAACTAAATTGTATTTGGCATGTCTACATTATGTTGTATAATAATACTAATCTGTACTTGACACTATCTAGTGCCCTAAGCAAACTGGTTCTATTGAATGTGGATACTTCTTGATGAAGTACATGAGTGACATTGTTTGTGATGTTAACGTCCTGAAAAAGAATGTGAGTTAAATGTGGACTATTTGTATACATTTTGTGGGATAACATTAATTAAAGTTTGTATATGATTGTACTCATTTTATTTTTATACTCTAGTTCTCAACAATAAAGGAGTACTCTGAACACAACATCTTGCAAGTGCGTGAGGAGTGGGCAGCATATGCAACAAAATTGGTTCTGAAGTAAGAATTTTATTTCCATTTTGGTTTGTTATTATTGCTGCCTTAGCTGATTATGAACTCGGTTATTAGTTAAATGGCAGTGATTAACTAACCCCTAACTCCCATGCATAGTTGTCATGGCGTCGCCATGGCGTCGCCTTATCGTTGCTTCAATATTAGTTAACTGCCTTAGCATCAATTTTTTTCTAGACTTGGACTTTTTTACTTTTAACTTTAGTGTGTTATGTGATTCGTTTTTGTTTAGTTATATATGTAATTGCTATTCTAAATTGTTTCATGACTTCCCTTGAAATGAAAGTATTTTGATATCTACATATGTAACCCAGTAATTATAATGCATGTAGTCATAATTGTGTTCTGGAACTTATGTGTGCTTCACTAAACAAAAGTGAGTTGTGCAGACTAATAACTCATACTTCGAATTAATTTCTTATACTTGTACTTCTTTAATTTACAGATAGATCGATGCGGTTGAATATGAATGATGGTCTGGTGAAGATCAGTTCTTGTTATTTTGGAGTGAAGGAATGCTGGAATGCTTTTTGAGAACTTTTGTAGGTTCATGTTTTGTGGAATGTAAAACTATTTCCTCGGTTAATTATGGAGTCATTTTTGCTTGAAACTGAAAATTTGCGCCCATTTTGTTGTGGAAGTTGTAACCTAACATGAAGAATTAACAATGACGACTTAAGCACTATTATTTAATGAGATGTATTTAAAGTTGGATGTGTTTGCTGCATTACATCTTTTTAGTGTATTGTTTGAAATCCGAACAATTAAATTGTTGTAAAAATAAACATATAAAGTAATGAAATTAATGTATAGTGAATGCAAGATATATAGTGACACCAAACCATCACAAAATCTGAATGTGTATTAGTGTCACTAAAAAATATGATACAATGGTATCACAAAAATTCTTGTTATGTATATATCACTAAAAAACATGATGCATTGGTATCACAAAAATCCTTGTTACTTATATATCACAATTCTTAATGATGTTTTTATGTCATCATTTTGTGACACAAAAGTGATTTGTTATCGGTGACACTAAATTTTGTGTCACTTGCCCCGCTTGTCTGTGACACTTTCAGTGTGTCACTAAATCGTTTAGTGACACTAATTTAATGTCACTATAAGCCATTTTTTTACTAGTGGTTACAATCACCCCCACTTAGGAACGCAACGTTCTCGTTGCACCCATAAACCAATTTCAAATCTCAATCCAATCCCAGAATACTCCCCCGCTAAGCGCCCGCCCGATATCCAACGGGTTAGCACACTGTCGCAAGGTTGCTCTGATACCACCTGTAACACCCCGACCCTGTGGGACCCGAGGTAGTTACTTTAGACCTCTAGTACTGTCCTCACAAACCACCACGAGCCTTTACCGCGCACTTTGTCCTCACTCATGCGTGCCCTGAGAAACTTCCCAGGGGGTCACCCATCCCAAGACTACTCTCGAGCAAGCACGCTTAACTTTGGAGTTCTTAGGTAATGAGCTCCCTTAAAAGAAGATGCACCCCTGTTGGTATGAGTAGTACTATTAATTCGTTTATATTAAATCTCAAGTGTTACAGGTCAATGGTTTCCTGGAAGACCTCTTCTTCGGCTACCTTGTCACCCGTAGCATCACCATACCTCTCTTGGTGTTCCTGAGGGTCAGTGAGGGTCTTTCCAACGATGTTCCTAGTCGATCTCGTCTTTCCCATTTCAGTTAGTAGTGTCTGGTAATGACGAAGGGTACTAATTTGATTGTTCTAGCTCTCAATGAAAGCACCAAATGATAGAGTATAGATCTAGAGAGAAGTGAGAGCTGGAGAGAGAAAGAGCTTGTAATTAATATTTCTCAACTCTCCACAACTACCCCCAAGGGGGGTATTTATAAAGGAAATGTGGGTTGGACTCCCAGGACTTGGTCCTGGGAGGCCCGGTATAAGATAAAGCATCTAATGGGCTGATTACATGATTTCCGGAGCTAATTATAAAATGTACAAAATATTGCATATGGGTGATGTTCTGGCCGAGGAAGGTCCTGATCGATGGAGGTAGGATTGTAAATGAATCAAATAATTTATGCTCGGTTCGGGATTCAAAATCGTATAAGACGATTCGAATTCGAAACATTCAAATACAAATAAAATAAGAATACTAAATTTGTTTTGAATTGTTTTCAAATACAAATCAGGATATTAGTATATTCGATTCGAATGTTAATAAAATATATTTGATTAATAATAGTGATAATATTAATAATAATGGTAATAATACTATACCCTCAAAGTGTAGCTCATATATACACTTACGTATACAAATTCCAAGTCCAATTGTAATATAAATCAGAAGTATCTTATGAGTGCCCTAGATACCAACTGAGTCCCAAGTGAGGTAAACGTTTAGAGGGGGGGTGAATAGACTTTCAAATCTTTTCGTTTTTTAGCCCCTTTTTCTCTAATAGAATGTGTTCCAATATCTTTTGGGAGATATTGAAACATGCAACGGAAGTCCTGACCTCAGGAGGGTGACACTTTATAGAAACAAAGGTTATGAACCTTTTGGTTGTGAGAGAGATGGGTTAAACATAATACAAATGTGTTTGCCAGAAACAGGTAACTCAAGGAGCAGGCTGCCGAATCCTGAAGGAGCTGGCTGCCAGCCAGTTTGGAGCTGACTGCCAAAACCTTAGGAGCAGGTTGCTCATTTTTTGTTTCTACTTCAATTAGTTAAGGCATAACAATGAACTATACCCTAAAACATTGGCAGGCTTTAGAACTAGTCTAACACATGAGTATGAAGGATTTGGACCTATAGAAATAGATCTCTTTGAAGAATAGATAACAAGGAGATGACTCACAGTGAACTGGAAATGTTCACTGGGCAGTTTTAGTCAGCAAGTTGTTTTACTTGTGAAGTTGTGAAGGTGAGTGATTACTGAATTTATGTTAGGAGCAGAATGTAAAAGGTGACACAAGATATATCCTTGTTCAGAGGTGGTGTAATCCTCCTACATCCAGTCCCAACCTATTTCAGATGGATTTCCACTAAATGAATATCCCATTACATTTAGTGCCTCAATCTACCCTTGGCCCAGACGTAGATTGTGAGGTTTTTTTGCAAGGAACTTAAACACCGTTCCAAGCTACTCAGTCCTCCCAAAGTTTTTCACTAATGACATTGACTTGCCAAGAGCTACTCATGCCCTTGACCTTTCTCACCTTCTGGACTTGATCACAAAGCCATCCAGAATGTCTAACACTAGTCTAGAATACATGGGTGTAATCTAAACTACCAACTAATCTAAACTCTATAGATTTGTATGAATTGTAGCTAGTCTAAGAGCATTAGACGAGTGGGGTGGTAGCCAAAGTGTAGAAGGAAAATTAGCAGACTGGATTTGATCGTGTAGAGGTTGATTTCCTTCTATCCACTTAGCTCCTCTCGTTTTAACACACTTTGTATTACCCCACTCCTTCTGTATTTATAGATTTGATCATTGCATCTCCACCGTTGGCTGGGGAAATGAATCTTGATCGTTGCTTGATCTACTTGCTTGTTCCACTTGACTGAGGCAGCATGGTTTTTCTTTGTCACGTAGTGACACGGATCAAAATTCTTCAGCTCAACTTGTTTACACATTTCAATGCAATATAAAAGATGTATTATCTTCATTTTCTTACGCGTAGAAACTAGTATAAAGTTGAGTGATGTTTCAATGATTTCTTACAAAATAACGAACACTTGCTTTTAGTAAAATAAATTTATAAGAAATTTATAATGTAATAAAAATCTTTTATAAATTTACTTTTCATCAAATTGTTATTTTGACTGCAAGTTGATCTTTTGTTTAAGTGTTTTGTGTTAAGAGAAGAGAGAGTTGGATTTCAGATGCCTTGACTGGATTTCAAGATTTCAGCTAGCTGCCAAGAAAATCAGTTGGCTGCCAAAATTTGGGTTTTCCAGTAGGCTTCCTTTTCAATGAATACCAGTTAACTCTTTTTCGTACCTTTTCTTTTTTTATTGTTTTTCTTTTTGTTTTATGGTATGTTGCCTCTCTTTTTAGTACTCTTTGCTTTTTATGAGTACTTTACCACTAAATATGGAGCACATTACAAATAAAAAAAGTAGAACATAACTAGTAGACTAGTCTAATACAGGAATAACAAAAAGGGGTGCATCATCAAAACTATAACATTATCATCAAAATCTAGGCGACCTAACAATGTCATACATGATAAGGGTCGTAAACGATGCAAATAATTTTAATCCGATTCGTGATTTGGATTAAAAAATTATAATTTACATTTGAAAATATAGAATATAAATACAACTACAAATCAGATTTTTTGTTCACAGACCTTTCACATACGAATACAAATAAGTATTTATTGGTTTCGAAGAATAATCAAATATATTCGTTTATACATATACGAAATCAACTACCTAGCATGTGTGTGTGCATCAACTACCCATTATATGTGTGTGTGTGTGCGCGTGCGTACGTGCGTATAGTATAAACTATATATATGTTGAGTATTTAGTTTTGTTGATGACTAACCATGCAGGTAGAACAACAGACAGAACCCCTCTCAGTTCTATAAGGAACAGAAGATAGAACTATTCTTAGTTCTGTTTTATGTGAACGGTTGTCATACATGATTGATAAGTGGTTGCATGATAACACTTTGCCTACGTGTCAAGATCATTATTTAGAAAAATTATCATGCATATTGTAAATATACGTTACACAACTTAGATCCCTTTCCATCCATGATTAGACACTCACTTTAATGAGTTTATTTTATGGAAAGAATCTTGGCTTGATAATATATGATCGCATGACTTATGTTTGGAAGTTGACCGTAGCATACTTATTAAATGAATATTTTACTCCCTTGCTATGCGATTTTGAAAAGGCATCCTTTTGTTGAAATATGTTCCATATGTATATGATCCGTTGCTAGCTTATACATGCTAAGTGAATAAATTATCTTTCTCTCTATATATGCGGATATTTATTCTTGGTTCCTAGCTTATATATGCTATGTGAATAAATTATCTTTCTCTATATATATGTGGATATTTATTCGCATGGAATCACCTTTGAGATATGATCCATAATTACGAGTCCATGTCACTCAAAAAGGAAGGACATTCAAATGATAACAAGGCAAGAAATATGTTTGGTAACTCATCAATCCAAGGAAAGATACATCAGCGGACCTGCTCTTAGAAGCTTATATATGCCGAGTTCAAGAAGAAGAAAAGTGAGATTGACCGAGACAAATAATAAGAATTCACAAAAGCAATATTCAAGTCCAAGGCATCTGAAACTACTCACTAAGAATTCTAGATATAGTTTTACTTTCCATTCTTCATATTGTAATGGGGTTTTGAGGATTGGCTAAGTGTATCATCCTCAGGATGGTTAGTGTGGTGTGAGAGCTTTGTTGTAAAGCTGAGAGGCTCTCTACTCGCAAAGTAGAGAAGCATAACTCTCTGCGGCTCTCACTTTTCTACGTCTTGTGGACCTACAGGATGACTCCGAGGACAGCAGCCAGAGAGACTCCATTCGTTTTGGCGTACGGCTTCCAAGCCAAGGTTCCCACGGAAGTGCTCGTACCTACACACAGGACGGTGCATTTCCACCCGGAACGTAATAAAGAAACTCTACGAGCAGAGCTCCATTTCATAGAAGAGCGAGGAGATCTGGCCGCTCGTCGGA